CCACGAGGACGTCTAACGGGAGTCTTATGCGCTTACGGCAGATTTTGCAAGATGGGAAGCGATGGGTTGGTGAGGTGCTGGTGAGTGGTGTGTGTGTGCGTGTGTGTGTTAAGGCCATCATTATATAGGCCAGCACACTCACCCGGTGGTGCTAAACACTCCGTAGATCAAGGGGTTTCTGACTTCTTCCGTCTTTAAAACAAATATGTCCTCTGCAATAGCACAAGCACACATTATACTGTGACACCTGCTTAATTCAAGAGAGAAACACCGAATAGCATTGCTTGACCGTACTTACCTGAAAAAGAGCATCTCTCAGCATTTTTTTGACGCAGTTTCTGAGCACATGCCCAAAAACAGCAAGCAGTCAGCAACAAACAGCACTGTTGTCAAAGTTGCAACAGATACGAGTGTAACGCGTCACTTGAACCGAGCAAGGTCACAAGAGCTCGAGACGAGAGACGATGGGAGGGGAATTCCCATGTCGAGCGGCTTCGTGTTATGACAGGTGCCGGTGAGTGTTGCATACGACCAAGCACCGTGGTTCATATCGCTTTCTCATTCCATCAATGCGCATGGCGAGCACTGGGGTTCACATTGCTCGATGCGTGTAATGCGCGATTTGCACGCTCGGTTAACGCTTTGCCTGCAAAAGCCGCCGGTATAAATAAACAAACGAACAAACGAACGCGAGATTTGCGCGTGCGATTGAGCACAATGCGCACTATTTGAGCTTAAAAGCAACAATAGCTCCCGTTCAGTGAAGCAATGCAAATCTCCACTGACGTAACTCTGCAAATAGACCGTGCATTTGGCACAGGCGGCTGCTCCGCACGGTGGAGCGTTTATGAACCTCGCACCAGCGCTCTCTGGACGGCGAACGCGCGGCACCGTCGTGTCCGCTCGCTGCGGGACTCTCGCCCGGCGTGCTACTTCCTGCCCCGGTGACCCACGCCAAATGGCCAGAGACCAATTTACAAACCGTCCAAGCTGGTCCATGAACAGACGCGTTGGAATATAAGTGAATTCTCACGTGGGAAGGCGTGCCGGTCCGTAGCAGCGTAAATATTTCTTAACATGATGCAACGGACTTTGAAGACATGTGGCACCGGGTTGAGCCCTCTGCCACGAACAATGCTACGTTTGTAAAAGTGGCAAAATACTAATCGATTGTTTAATCGAATCGCTAGCTAGTATGGAAACAATTTCTCGAATCCCCAGTGGGGCAAAACATGACATGCCCAGGACAAATTTTGATTTAAAGCTTTCGTGACTGCAGTAATTCATATTCTTAGTTTTATATATATATATATATTTTGTTATTTTGTTGTTTCTCTTCAACGTGACTTTACCGAAAAAACTAAGAATATGCCCAGGACAGTATATAATCTCACTGTCGATTTTATCATTAGAAATTATTTACCTTTTCCCATTCCTACCTTTCAAATTTTTTTTATACTAGCATCTTACCTTCCAATTGTCCACAAACAGAAAACAAGGTTTATAACCTAGTCCCCATTTGGACCCCAGCTGTTTGTAATGAAGGGATGATTTATTCATGGCCTGGCCGACGGGCCAGGTGATTTGTGAGCGGCCGAACGGGGGCGCTAGAGGCGGGAGGAACTCACGCAGCTCGTCGAAGTGAGTCTCGATGCCATCGGCGCCCGTCACGGAGCACACGAGCCGGGCCTTCAGGAAGGTGCTCCACTTGTTCACCAGACTCCGCTGGCCGCCCATGTCATTCTGAAAGCGGCCGGACAAAGATAGCAACGGCAGCAGCGGCAGCGGTCGGTCACGCGCAACGTCTCCCTCGCGTCCCCCGCCGGCACGTAGCTAAAAGCTTCTCTGATAAATGATGACATCGTCGCCCCGCTTGTTTGACCAGCCCTCTATTTGGCCACTTGCAACTCGTGACATTGAAACAAAAAAATATATATAACGAGCAGCCATCGTCCTTATATACGACTGGTTCTATTGGACGATTTGAATGACTGAGAACGTTTATTTTAGACTGCAGGAAGAGGAATCCGATGAGCTGTGAAGCTCGTTTTAAACAGATGTCCAGTATAGGAGCGGAGCCAGCAAGTTGCATCAGCGAACAATACAACAAAACGATAGGAGTGTAAACCAGAGAAAAAGGGAAGTCATTTAACATAAATGGATAAAACATAATAATATAAGTCGCATTTATCAAGCTTGTGCAAGGCAGCAGACCACATCAAGATAACACCACGAGCAGTAGCCCCTCAATACAATGGCCCACTCACGGGTAAGCATCAAAGTTACAAATTACATTTGCAAATGTGACCATATGAAGCACCAACCTTATGCTTCAGGAAATTTATTAAACAGAGTGTAGACATAAATACTCCTTATATTTGAAGGATTGTTGCATATTTTTTATATGTAAAAACAATTATCCATAACATAGGTTTTTTTTGGGTTAGATCGCATAAATACACACGACCCTCTTGGTTACATTCTCTAGGGATTAACGTATTTTTTTAATTTTGATTTAAAGCTTTCGTGACTGCAGCGATTCATATTCTTGGTTCTTTCGGTAAAGTCACGTTGACTGTTTGTGCTACAGTCGAAACGTCGTGAGAATTTAATTGTTTTATATATATTTGATTATTTTATTGTTTCCCTTCAACGTGACTTTACCAAAAGAACCAAGAGTATTTTTTTTTAGTTTAACATGTAGGCTTTCGCGACCAACATCATCCAAAATATAGGTTTTTTTTGGGCTAGACTGCCTAAATAGTTACGTAAATTTACGTACATTTTTGCGTAAATCTACACGATCTAACCCCAAAAAAACCCCTATATTTTGGATGATATTGGTCGCGAAAGCCTACGTGTTAAGCTAAACAAATGACGTGAATCCCTAGAGAATGTAGCCAGGAGGGTGGTGTGTTTTTGTACTTGCGCTGTAGAAGGGGCATTCATTTTTACATTGTGCATGTATCGCATATATGAACTGATTAAATATTGATGCTTCCCTTTCATCAAAACGTGCGGACCATGGGCCCCACCATCGGCAGGACGAAGGGTGAGCGTGGGGCGTGGGTGCGATGCCATTGTGGCAGGGAGAGGGATGGTCTCAGAAGGACCTCGGCGATGGACGTGATTAATAAGTTAAGAAATCAGCACCCCGTCAGTGCGTTGATATTAAACGTCAAAAAGCGCCTGAATTATTCAGCGCCAAATTTACTCCGAGGTCATGGGCTTTTAGAATCTTCCACCGTGTGCTCAACCCCCCTAGGTCATTACAAACATTGAATAAGCCCCCTTACAACAACTGCTGGCAGATCACAGGACGTGAGTGTAGGTGCTCGCTCGTGAAAGACGACGAGATGAACCAATATTAGAGCCCAAATTTGAATTTATCAATAGCCAATCTTATTTGGACGAGACATTTATATCTTTCATGGAGATAATAAGTTACTGCCCCTTGTCAGTGAACTGCCGAATGAACTCCTCCCCATGCAAAGCTGGTTGTGGGGGAAGTAAATCACAATAAATAACGAGATGACAGTACATGGCACGCGCAAAATCAACGTTCGAGTAGAAACATCCTTTGGGCTGTACGCACAATGCAGACGCGGCCGATGCGCGCGTAGACAGACTTCTGGTTGCCAGATTCCGTGGCCTTCTCCCGGAAGAAGAAGTAGAGCTTGTCATCGTTGCGGTCGCCGCTGTCCGGGATCATGTGCATGTCCAGGAAGACGGGCTCTGCACGACAGAATCCGCCACCGCACCGCGCGATCACCACCCCGTCAACTTTCCCTCGCATTCACACCAAGTCCCCACGTAGACTACGCAGGCTGCTGTTGGGGCAAGGCCCAGTGTGGCCGGCACCACGCCCGACCGCATTCGTCTCCCCACAGCGCTGATGTTTGCACACCGTATCACAGTTACTGATTGAAGCAGTCCGCGGGGTTGGGAAGTCCAGATCCAGTTCAGACAGTCACCACCGATGTTAGCCGTGGTGGGTGACGAACTCGGGCTCGCTGGGTTCGCAGTGCGGTCCGCTAACGCACGCACTCGACATACTGGACACTCAACTGCTATGCACGGACTCGCGGAATACTGCCGACCAGCACGTTCTCCATCCCCCCCACCCCCACTCCCGGGGCATCATCTGCTGCACGGTGTGACACGGAGATTATTCCGGCGATGACCGCGAGGAGAGCTATGCGTGGAACCCCGGCCCCGACGCGGACGTACCGTTGAGCCAGCGCGAGTTGTACTGATCGGTGCGCAGGGAGTGCGGCTTGCCGAGCGTACGGAACAGCGTGGCGTCCGTCCCCATGAAGTCCAGGTACACCCCTGAGCAGAGCTCCTCATCTGTACAGGGCACATCGAACGTCAGCCATGATCAATTCACTGCTTGATGAAGGTCTCCGCAAGCCGCCGCCGCCGCCGGCACCGCCACCTCTCGCGATCCTGTGATGAACAAACACTGCGGGATCTGCTGCACGCGAGCCAATCTCGTTGCTCCAACTCCTCAGTGGACATCTTCCCAGACGCGGTTCATTCCATGGTGGCACTCAGGTAATGTCCCACACGTGTGGCGTGATGTTACCTCCCTCGCCTGGTACGCAGGAGGTCATGGGTTCGATCCTGATCCTGACGCTGACGCCTGCTGTATATTTGGAGTCTGCATGTTTTCTCTCCCCGTGGTCGCGTGGATTTTTCTCCGGGTCCTCCGGTTTTTCCCTCCACATTTAGAATCAATCTTGATTTGAAGCTTTCGTGACTGCAGGAATCCACTCTTTGGTTCTTTCGGTGAAGTCACGTGGGTAGAAAATAAATATATCACGACGTTTCGGTCGCAACACGAGCGGTCGCTCCGCCTGAGGACGACCGCTCGCTTTGCGATCGAAACGCCCTGATATTTTATTTTTAGTTTAACTTTTCTACCTACGTAACTTTAGCGAAAGAACCAGAGTATTTAGAATCAACTTGCACTGAGAGTATTTGGCTGGTATACATTTCCACGCCATAAGCCACTAAGTTGAGCGATCATTTGTGGACCAGGTTTCTTTAAAAAAAATGGCTAAATAGCTCAGCTGGTCTTACCTAGTCAAGCATTTTTTTTTTGTTTCAGTAGTTTTAGCTTTTTAGATTATTATGTATGTTTGTTTCTCTTTCGAGGCAGTGTCATTGATGAATGTATTGAGTTATTATTTGTGCTTGTGCACTGCTCATAATGCAGAACCACCAAATAATTTGTCAAGCTCCAATGAGAGCTTACACTGCTGACAATTATACGCAGCAAAAGGAGCAGAAATTACATTGAACCAATTATTAAACAAAAACAGGCCACGTTGATACTGTATATCCACATGTAAATGACAGAGCAGAATATAAATCGCTTTTGCAATTTCCTATCCATCCTGTTCATAACGGGGTAAAAAAAAAATCGTGAACATTTACTGAGGAAATCTATTTTCATGTCATCACGACAAAGGTGGTTGGAATTTTTCAACAGGATTCTCAAAAGCAACTTCCAGCTATTAGCCCACACACTGATGCAGAACATTCCATTGCATGTAATGCAATGATACACTCCATGCTGCGTGATCACACTCTACATTTACACTTAAGATAATAAATTTAAACAAGTCACAGATTACATTAATTTGCTTTCATAATGTCACAATCTGTGTGCCCTTACCTTCTAATGGCAATCCATAACATTTTACAGCATACGTCAATCACGGGATCGAGTCAACAGCTGCTCAAGAGACAACGCACGGCAGTGGAGCTGTGGATTAGTGAGTTACTGCTCTCGGAGGGTAACGAATGGGTTGGGAAAATTGAAAGGATAGAGCTGCAGATGTTACTTATCCAGATGGATAAAGCATAATTCCTTGCAAGGCCGAGCATTACCAAACGTCCGCTGTGCGGAATGTTGACTGTGGGTGAGCGCGTGCGCGCGCACAGACACGTGATGATCTACACACAGACACGTGATGATCTACACACAGACACGTGATGATCTACACAGACACGTGCTGATCTACACACAGACACGTGCTGATCTACACACAGACACGTGCTGATCTACACACAGACACGTGCTGATCTACACACAGACACGTGCTGATCTACACACAGACACGTGCTGATCTACACACAGACACGTGCTGATCTACACACAGACACGTGCTGATCTACACACAGACACGTGCTGATCTACACACACACACGTGCTGATCTACACACACACTGATCTACACACACACGTGCTGCTGATCTACACACATACACGTGCTGATCTACACACACACACGTGCTGATCTACACACACACTGATCTACACACACACGTGCTGCTGATCTACACACACACTGATCTACTTACACACACTGATCTACACACCACACGTGCTGCTGATCTACACACATACACGTGGCAACTGCAACCGCCAGTGCTCTACAAACACGGTCGAAATTGCGACCCCGGTAAATAGACCGCATCCAGCTACGACGCGAAACATTTATTTTGCACCATCATAGAGCTGTTACGTTCACATTTTTTTTGCACGCACATTTGCACCATCATAGAGCTGTTACGTTCACATTTTATTGTGAAAAGCGATTCTCTCTGGGTTTGAAATATTCTCGCGTCGATGTATTTTGTTAGGCCGCCGCGGATTTATACAAGTTGGCTATTTTAAAAAGTTATCGATTCGAGACCTGTTTAACTCTTCTCCTTGCCATAGGAATTGGCTACAGACCCAACACGATGCGTGGTGAGTATTCAGAAATGTTCGCTTGGAGGTCTTGCATCAAAGTTTTAATTTACACGCACCAATTCAGGTCACGTGGTCGTCGAGTTTGTGGTTTGCCTGTGTGTGAGTGTGGTACGGCAAATCACAACAACGAGCGGAGCGCCGGGCGGATAAATGGTGCGAGTTGGCATAGTAGGGGGTACAGCTGGTGGTGCATCTACCGGTCATCTCAGTCAGCCAACCCATGGCACCTACTGGGTCTGTCCCGAGACCTCCTGCACCTAGCCTGGCACAATAGAGGGGTCCAGCTGGTGGTGCATCTACCGGTCATATCAGTCAGCCAACCCATGGCACCTGCTGGGTCTGTCCCGAGACCTCCTGCACCTAGCCTGGCACAATAGAGGGGTACAGCTGCTGGTGCATCTACCGGTCATCTCAGCCAACCCATGGCACCTGCTGGGTCTGTCCTGAGACCTCCTGCACCTAGCCTGGCACAATAGAGGGGTACAGCTGCTGGTGCATCTACCGGTCATCTCAGTCAGCCGACCCATGGCACCTGCTGGTGTTGTCACGTGACCTCCTGTCAGCGAGCCTTCGCCACTTCACGTGGCCTCAAAGCGCACCTGGCCTGGCACAGGCGCGTGGTGACGGCACCGTCACTTAGCGGCGAATGGCCGGTGTTGGTATTCGTACGGCAATTTGTATTTGATTCCTAGCGACCCTCTCCTAGGCCACCCGCGTGCGAAATGATTAATCGTGCAGTGTGTATTTACGCAAACACCGGGAAGAGAAATGGTGCCTGCGAGTGTTGTGATGAACCTGTTTGTTGTTCTTACGAAAGGATCGTTAGCAGCATTGCTCCAGCAACACGTGCGAGATAAATAAACAACTTTTGCCAGCTTGTGTGCCGTGACCTGGGTTCGATTCCAGTGAAGTTGATCTGAACCGGTTCTGGGCCTCCCATAGGTTGACTCAGCCTCAAATGAGTACCTGGTGTGGTGCGTCCACATCGCCACTGGGGAGACAAAGGCGGCCGGGCGTGGTGCTGGTCACCCACCCCCTCGTGTGCCATTCCGGCCTTTATAGGTGCTCGCTAACAGCACTATCCTCCACTCTGTCACAGGCTAAACGGGGGATCTTTGTTTTGCATGTGTGCATGCATTGACCCTATGCACATACATCAGCATAGCGCTGTGCCACTGGGCCATAATAACCCATGCTGGGACTCGTGAACCACATGCATGTGGGCGGGTATGCACACAGCTGCAGCCCCACAATTATCTTTTCCACAAGTGGAGAAAAGTTCGAGTTTTATTTCCTCTTGAAAATGATCTACTTGGCAAGGACAGGGGTATGTGTCAAATATGAGCATTTATTTTTTTGTTGTTGACAGTGCGTGACTCCACACGTTGCATGCATATTCCTCTGCACGTGTGTACTTTTGTATGTTCACCGAAAACACACACACACACACACGACACGCATGACGTGAAATGCCCAGTGCAATCACGCACGATGGCTGGGGCTGTGTGCGCCGCTTTAATCTCCCGAAGATTTGAACGCTGTTCGAGCCTCTTAATGAATAAATAAGGAGCATCCGAATAGAATGCTCCGTATGTTAACAAGAACATCTGCTTAGAGAGATGTGGGTACAGAAAGGAAAGGACAAATGATACCAGAAACTAGACAATGATCAACTCTCGTACGAATGAGATATTTGAGTGACGAGAGAGTAATACGACCTAAATTGCATAGTCTTATCACGCCTATTAAGTAGGAGCACTGTAAAACGTTAAAAAGGAGTGAATTGTTAAATAAATGAGTAACTCTTCGTCAACACGTTAATCATCACATTCTTAAAACTCTAGATTAGACTGCTGCATATTATAGACAATTATTGTGAGGTATTGCGTTCTCAATGCCAGATGTCGTTCCTTATTTGTTTTTTACAGGCATGTGTGTTATGTCAAGGTACAATTATCCATTTTCTACATGCGAGTCGGGTGTTTACATTTAAGTCCCAGACTGATTATTTAGAGTCGGGACAAGGATGCCTAAACATTTAAAGCAGCCCATTGAAATCACACACTTCAAAACAAATGTAACATTCGAAGCACGTTTGTGTTCTAGGGCAGTTGTGTTGTTCTTTATGCTTTCAGAGTCCCTCACTCTCTGCTCACAATCATTAAGGACCTTCATGATAGTGGGCAGGCCCAAGTAAAACTATGTGGCCGGGAGTCGGAGCCATTCCCTGTTCACCTTGAGGTGTGATAGGGATGTCCTCTGGCTCCCACAATATTTAACATCTAATTCGACCACGTAGTTCGTGAAGCCTTCAATGGCTGCACCGGAGGAATTTCCATCTGGTACAGATACAATGGAAGGCTAATTGATGCCCGGGTGCGGTAAAGGGATGGCTTCATTATGGGTCAACCATGTTATGTATGCCGATGATCTGGTGATTGCTGCTCATTCAGAGGAGAAGTTGGAGGTGCTGCTGCTCCATCTGGAGCGTACCACTAAGAGGTGGGGCCTTATCATCAGCCCCACCAAAACTAAGCACCTGCCTGGGTATTTTGTGCCAAACACTCCACCCCCACAACTCCAAATTGGTGATGGGGCAATTGTGGAGAGAGTGGAGAATTTTCCTTACCTGGGCAGTGTGCTCATGACTGGCTCCGGTTTGTTTGGAAACTACCTGATCTGTCACTCCACACGAAGCTTTGGGTCTTCTTGGCCATGGTCATGCCCTCCCTTCTCTATGCTTACGAAGCATGGATCCCCCTAATGGTACTGGTGAGAAATATTCAGGCTGGCCCACCTACGATCCATCCTGGGTTTAACAAATTCTTAAAAGATCTTGGACAAAGTCCCATTGGTGAGCTCCTCCGGCAGGCAAGGCTGCATTGGCTGGGTCATGTTGCCCGCATGCCCAGCCACCGCTTGCCTAAAGAGCTTTTGTTGGGCTGGATAGAGGGGGCTAAACGGGTGTAGCATGGGCTAGAGCAGAGAAGAGGAGTGATTTGGTACAAGAGGATGTGGAGCTGAGTGGACTTGCCAATGACTGGTACCAGTGGAGTCAAGATCGGCCTCTTTGGAGGAGGCTCGTGAAGGACGCTACTGGGAAGCTGGAGGCAGTCGCCCTCCAGCAATAATGGAAGGCAAAGGAGCGATGCTCACAATAACGAGTGGAGCGCCGGGTGGCTAAAACAGCAAGTTGGCACAGTAGGGGGCACAGGTGGTGCATCAGCCAGTCATCTCAGTCAAGCCATGGCACCTGGGTCTGTCCCGCGACCTCCTGCCAGTGGGCGTTCAACACTTCACGTGGCCTTAACGTGCACATAGCCTGGCACAAGCGCTGTGGCGAATGGCGGTTGCTGTGCATGCGTGCGTGCGTGCGTGAATGTGAGAAAGCTCTACGTACTGATCATGAGTGAGACGCTCTCCAGTTTGGGGCTATAGGAGCACTTGCCCTTGCCCGACTCTGGTTTCCCGTGGCTCAGCAGCAGCGTGCGGTCCTGTCAATGATGAAATCCAGTCAGAACACACCATTGTCCACGCTGCGCTCCAGCAATGTCCACGCTGTGCTACAGCAGGTGGCAAACATTCAACATTTATACAATCAGGGAGCTTCAGACTATCCATAGACACGTCGTAAACAACAAGAGACATGTTTTACATTACATATGTTTAGTGCATCAAGTATTTGTTTATAAAAAAAAATACCTACTTATCCATGTAGTATTTCCATAAATATCAATATTGGCCATGGCTAAAACTATCAAAAAAATGGCTGACAACTGTCTTGATTTAAAAAATAATCAAAAGAAAAAGCCTCCTGTAAATGTAATTTCATGACAGAGTACATTTTGCAGGAAGTCATTTTTAAAAGCAAGTGGATTTTCCTATGGATAAACTGGGCCCCTACCAGAGGAATGTGGAATTTAAACCACTGGCTTAAGACTTGCCATTCTGGATAAGCTCTGCCCACCACTACCATTAGCATAGAGACTTCAATTGCATGCAAAGGCTTTTCAATTCACGTTGATCATTTTATGTAACCATGCGAAAGCTCACTGAGATTCAATGTCTCTTGTAATGTGACACACTTTTGCATTCCAACTGTTCTTACTTTATAATAACCGTTCCTTTGTAACTATGGCGACCACAGATATATGTGTGCGTGTACCTGTTGTCGGTGCACCCTTTAAACCGATATTTAAAATGTATCAACTTTTATTTCCTTCCGATTAATAAGAATTCACCACGGACCAGGCAGCAGCTACACACTTAGCAGAGCGTGCTACTTTCGTGCGTGCCCTGCTACTCAGACGGGGAATCGAAGCCAAAACCAAAAAAACCCTATGATCCTTTTTTAAATCTAAATACTTTCCACTGTGCATTACATTTCATGTAGATGTGTGTGTGTGTGGTTTTTTGTTGTTGTAATGTTATCACAAAACACATCAAAAGTTTGCTCACAAAGTGAGATGGAGAGAAGAAGATGTCAAGTGAGCCAGGTTTCCATAAATAAAAAAACACTTGTGCAAGAAATACAAAACGGAGCTTATAATTTGGACCCATTCGAAACTCAAAATGATGGCCTCCAATGCCCTCCCCCATCCCACTCATCGGTGGCTGAGTGACCACAAAGGAACTTTAATGTCAACAGCAGATCAACTAGCACGGATTTTCAGCAGCCCTTTTCACTCGTCACACGGTGGCGAAAGAAAAGTCTGTAGAAAACATCGCATTGGTCTGAAAGTAGTATCGAGTTTTACTCTGTTTTTTTTGGGTCATTCGTACAGGATTTAATTTGGCTTTCTCTACCGAATAGATCTGAAAGCATCCACAAAAACCACAATCAAAGTTATTTTTTTTTATGGAAACCTGGGTGACCATGAACGTGTCATGCATGCGTTTACCGTGGCTGAATTACGTTCATGCAATATATATTAATTGGCTTATTTTAGAATTAACATTGATTTTTGTTATTAGCCATTTCACTGCAATGGCTACAAATGCAGAGATCAACAGTTGTATAAACATGAGTGAAAATGCAAGTATTTTGCAAACCATTATGCATCCCATCCATCCAGTAATTGCAGTGTGCATTATATTAGTCAGTCATTGTTAATTGTGTGAGTTGCTCAAGCCCTCCACATTTAACTTGCTTGATCCAATTTCATTTACTCTTTTTGGAAGCACTGTTAAACAATGTACGTATCGTGCTTTCCGATTAGATTATCCAAACGTATGAACGGACGTCTTGTGGCGCTGGGAGGGCTGTGATGTGACGGAGCGAGAGGCGTATCCTCGGATTATCGAGAACAACAACTTCCTTTTAGTGGCAGGGGAAACTATCGCCGAGAAAACACCAACTCCCCCGGTGGCTCCACCTTATCAAGCGGCCACTCCACCATGACAACAAATGGGGTGGTTCAGGCTGGTGAATTACCATTTCCTTCCTGCCACCACCACCATCAATCTCTTCCTACCTCATCACTCCTTGGATACGCCACTGGAAAGAAATTACTTGAGCCAGCATGCTTCATGGCCCAGGAGAGCGGACAGCGGAGGAGACTTGCGGGTGTGGGACAAGGTCAAAGGGCGTTCCTACCCCAGGAGGCAGCAATACCTCTGCCCGGCGCCCGACGTTGGCGTAGGTGCAGATGGGGTGGTAGGCGCCGGTGCCGCACACGTACAGGTGAGTGCGGTTGTAGGGCTGGATCACGCGCACAAAGTTCCCGCACTCGCCCTGCGCAAGACGCAACACACGACACCGCACGCACGCACGTCAATACCCACGGATGTTAATGCCCAAGGGGATGAGCAATCACACATGTCTTCACCTGCTCAGGAGAACGGCTCAGTTACACCGAGGGTCGGTTAGATGCGGTTAAATCCGAGGATTTAACCGCGACTTGCCAGAGAGCGTCACACACCGTCAGGCGTGACTGAGGGCTTGGCTGATGAGCAACACATGCATACACAAGATCTGTGAGCTTGAATGCCAGACACAACAGCATGGGAAATTTTTGTTGCTCATCAAGCGGGGGAAGACTTTTCAGAAAATATTGAGCAACTTCACTTACAACGACTTGTGAATACAAACTTTTCACAGGTTAAATTATACATGTGAATGAGCATTTACAAGGATTCATCTCCAGTGGGAATTGACGATTTCATTCAAAGATAGATTATTTTCTCATTTGTACCGTCTCATTTGTACTCTCCGTAACATTTTTCTGTCTCGTTCGCACTGCGATTCATTAGGCAACCGTGTGGAGGCCATCATCCAGCAGCGGAGAAAATGTGGGATGATGATGATGATGACGAGGATTCGTGATTAACTTTGAGTTGCGATCGAGGCCTCTACTGTCACTATTTCCATAGGGGGCAGTATAGTTACACAAAGCAGACTCGTTGGGTAAGAGGTAGGGAACCAACTGGACATCTGAGATGCAGGTATGTGTTCTCTAAAAACCAAAGTATTTGTCATGGTATTTGTTATGTGCGGGGCACATTACCCATGCGTGCGGGTGTGTGTGTACATCTCCCTCAGTCCGCCTATCTGTATACCTGTGAATACACTGGCGTGCACACTTTTGTGGGTATGCGGTTGAGTGTATGCTAGGCTGCAAATGTGATTAAAAACACCCGAACTGGATTTGTAGACGGCATCTGGTATTTTATGATCAGTATTGCACGTTTACCCAGGAAAGCCTCACTGGGCCTCAAGACCCGTTTTCAGGAGGATCCTGTCAACGGTTCGCAGTAGGGAGCAATGCTGCTGCTGCGTGTGATCCCGATCGAGTATTTTCAGATCTTTTCTTTTCAGCATTGAGATGATTGGCCCAAATACGAGTTACATTTGTAGGGTTATTTTGTCCGCTGTGGGAGGAAACCCAGAGGGAGAGCAAACAATATCCACGCGGAAAGGCACCCACGACTGGATCAAACGCAGGCGCTTCCTGCTGTGAGGCACAAGTGTGGCGACTTTCCCACCCGGCCGCCTAAGCCTGTATAGTTCTAACAAGCCGAGAAATGTTTCGGTAGCTTACAGCCATCTCTCCAGCTTAGCCGCATTGTTTTATTTAAAGTCAGGACATCTCCCAACCATAACAATTTAAAACGATGTCCTCATTCATCTCAATGCTTTCCGAATCATATGCTGGCTTCGATACAGCACAACCGATACGTCTGGGAAAATATCTGTGCCGACTACAGCTTACAGAATAAGGGCTTACTCCTCCCCCTCCCCCCTCCCATTTAAAATGACACCATCTTCTCGTTTGACACGCTGCAAATTGAAAACAAGCGGGGCTCGACGCGGACGCGTCTGCTTGACGCGCGTTTCAGCGAGCTTTAAAAAAAAAAAAGAAACCTTCGTGCCACGAGACGCGCAAGCGGGCAGCAGCAGCAGCTGCAGCAGCAGCTGCAGCAGCAGCAGCCGCAGCAGCAGCTGCAGCAGCAGCAGCAGCAGCCGCAGCAGCAGCAGCCGCAGCAGCAGCCGCAGCAGCAGCTGCCGCAGCAGCCGCCGCCTGGATGTGATGGTCAGAGCCGTGAGCGAGCGGTGCCGTCGCCGCCCGCGGCTCGCCCGCGTCGTCACGTCGGAGCCGCACACAACACACCGCGTCTGTCGCCGCGCCTCGCACGTTGGCAGGGAGCGGCGATCCCTGCGTGCGTTGAATGAACTGGAAACAGCGGATTTTTTGGCAAATGCACATGGGGGGGGAGGGGTTACGTTTCTTTCTGCGCTCGGTACGGTTGTTGTTGTTGTTGCACGCGAGCGCACGTGCACAACAACAACAACAACCCTCCATCAAAGCAATACACACGCGTGTGCTTAACTGGACTATCTTGGTCACACGGTGGATCCCACTAAGCAGATGTTTGTAAATATTAGGTTTTATACGGGCATTTACATTGTGAAGTTAAAGAAAATGTACGAGTAACGTATATTTATTCAACGAATGTTCAAATAGATATATTCACATGCCTTGCACATACATGTTAGTCAATCTCATATGATCTTCTTCCATGTAAGGCCTGTTGATACGTGTATTGTTATGATCATCATGTAAGGCCTGTTGATACTTATGTTGACATGTATGTTCGGTCGCGACATCAAAATTGTCTCCATCTTAGCCTCTTCTGCCAGAATCCATCGTAGTAGAATCGTACTGTTTACGTCTTACTTGTCTCTTTTCGCTGCATTGCTGGAAATGCAACGTAGAGAAATCTGATCGACGGATATCCATGGAAAGATGACGATAAATTGAGGCCAAAGAAACTTGAGGCGATTTTTGTTTTTACGTTATAAAGATTTAAAATGTTGTTCGTGGAAACTTTGGAGACCAGGTTTCTGGCAATGTCTGCGTTATCAAAAGGAGTTTTAACTTTCAGTGAAGGCACTAGCAGACTTTGCGTGGTGTGGCCCATGGAGTGGCGAGATGTCACTGTAAAGCCGGAGTGTAAAGACGGCCTCTGCACAGCTATGTGAGCAATGCAAACGTTTACGTGGAATTTATTAACGGTCAAAACATCTCACGCTGGAAGGTCAGTATTATATTTTTATTTTCCCATAAACTATTTTGCCATTATTTTGCCATTGGAGTGCCGAGACATTAACTCTCTCGCCTGGTATGCAAGAGGTCGTGGGTTTTATCGCAACCCCGACGCCTGCTGTATGTTTGGAGTTTGCGAGTCTCTCTCCCCGTGCTAGCGTGGATTTTTCTCCGGATCCTCCGGTTTTCCCCTCTACATTTAGAAGCTTGCGATTAGACTATTCGGCTGCTGTAAATGTCTACATGAGATAAGCCACTTCGTTGAGCTATAATTTGGGCCAAGTCACATCTGAAAAAGAGCTGTATATAGAGTGAGGGAAAAAAGTATTTGATCCCCTGCTGATTTTGTACGTTTGCCCACTGACAAAGAAATGATCAGTCTATAATTTTAAAGGTAGGTTTATTTGAACAGTGAGAGACAGAATAACAACAAAAATCCAGAAAAACGCATGCCAAAAATGTGAGAAATTGATTTGCATTTTAATGAGGGAAATAAATATTTGACCCCTCTGCAAAACATGACTTAGTACTTGGTGGCAATACCCTAGTGGCAATCACAGAGGTCAGACGTTTCTTGTAGTTGGCCACCAGGTTTGCACACATCTCAGGAGGGATTTTGTCCCACTCCTCGTTGCAGATCTTCTCCAAATCATTAAGGTTTCGAGGTTGACGTTTGGCAATTCGAACCTTCAGCTTCTTCCACAGATTTTCTATGGGATTAAGGTCTGGAGACTGGCTAGGCCACTCCAGGACCTTAATGTGCTTCTTCTTGAGCCACTCCTTTGTTGCCTTGGCCGTGTGTTTTGGGTCATTGTCATGCTGGAATACCCATCCACGACCCATTTTCAATGCCCTGGCTGAGGGAAGGAGGTTCTCACCCAAGATTTGACGGTACATGGCCCCGTCCATCGTTCCTTTGATGCGGTGAAGTTGTCCTGCCCCCTTCGCAGAAAAACACCCCCAAAGCATAATCTTTCCACCTCCATGTTTGACGGTGGGGATGGTGTTCTTGGGGTCATAGGCAACATTCCTCCTCCTCCAAACACAGCGAGTTGAGTTGATGCCAAAGAGCTCCATTTTAGTCTCATCTGACCAAAACACTTTCACCCAGTTGTCCTCTGAATCATTCAGATGTTCATTGGCAAATTTCATATGGGCATGTATATGTGCTTTCTTGAGCAGGGGGACCTTGCGGGCGCTGCAGGATTTCAGTCCTTCACGGCATAGTGTGTTACCAATTATTTTCTTGGTGACTATGGTCCCAGCTGCCTTGAGATCATTGACAAGATCCTCCCGTGTAGTTCTGGGCTGATTCCTCACCGTTCTCATGATCATTGCAACTCCACGAGGTGAGATCTTGCATGGAGCCCCAGACCGAGGGAGATTGACAGTTCTTTTGTGTTTCGTCCATTTGCGAAAAATCGCACCAAATGTTGTCACCTTCTCACCAAGCTGCTTGGCAATGGTCTTGTAGCCCATTCCAGCCTTGTGTAGGTCTACAATCTTGTCCCTGACATCCTTGGAGAGCTCTTTGATCTTGGCCATGGTGGAGAGTTTGGAATCTGATTGATTGCTTCTATGGACAGGTGTCTTTTATACAGGTAACAAGCTGAGATTAGGAGCACTCCCTTTAAGAGTGTGCTCCTAATCCCTTTAAGAGTGTGCTCCTAATCTCAGCTCGTTACCTGTATAAAAGACACCTGGGAGCTAGAAATCTTTCTGATTGAGAGGGGGTCAAATACTTATTTCCCTCATTAAAATGCATATCAATTTATAACATTTTTGACATGCATTTTTCTGGATTTTCTTGTTGTTATTCTGTCTCTCACTGTTCAAATAAACAAAATCAGCAGGGGATCAAATACTTTTTTCCCTCACTGTAGCCTTACCTGGTAAAATATATATTTTTAGATAGTTTTTTAATAAGTTGAAGGTACCACACATATTTAGTGGACGCTTCTTCCTGTAAAATGTATTGCTTCTGAAAATTTTTAATGAAATTAATGAGAAAAGAACTAAACGTTAAAAAAGCATGATATTATTATAGGGAGTGGGGGAGTGGTGTCGCAGTCATTAGCACACTGCTATGAATTCAATCACCTAGGTTCAATGACCAGCCACGGCTAACATCTGTGGTGAGTGATATCCGAGCCAATCCTAGGCACCACGTCATTCACCAACCTTCACT